CAGGGTCGGTATCGAACCCACGAACTCCTGTGTACCAGGCGAGGTAGTCAACATCTCCTAGCCACCGTGATTATGATGATGATGAGAGAGAGAAAGACACGCAGACTCCAAATATACAGCAGCATCAGGCATCGTCAGGGTCGGGATTCAACCCACGACCTCCTGCGTACCGGACGAGGTAGTCAACATCTCCTAGACACCGTGATGATGATGATGAAAGAGAGAAAGACACGCAGACTCCAAATATACAGCAGCAGTAGGCATCGTCAGGGTCGGGATCGAACCCACGACCTCCTGTGCACCAGGCGAGGTAGTCAACATCTCCTAGCCACCGTGATGATGATGATGAGAGAGAGAGAGAGACGCAGACTCCAAATATACAGCAGCAGGCATCGTCAGGGTCGGTATCGAACCCACGCCCTCCTGCGTACCGGGCGAGGTAGTCAACATCTCCTATCCAGCGGGGCTCCCATGTAAAGCTCACTCCTTGCCACGAGCAAGACGTTCACCATTTTCAGCAAATATGGAAATGCCAAATGGGGACCAGACAAAGATCCACAACACCCCCCACCCCCACTGCCCACCCATACAAACCCCCCTCTTGAATAATGAGTCAGTTCAGGCTACCTCCAGTAAACAAAAGATTAATATTTAATAGCGCTCGCTAATAGAGCATGCCCTGACATTCTACTCTGTGGATGTGTTGTCTCGTGCGCGTGTGTGCACACAAAACATATATACACGGGCGCGCGTGCAAAATCGTGCGCGGTGGTAGTTGCAAGTGCGTTGGTGTGCGTGTGTGTGTGTTGGTGTGCGTGTGTTCGTGTGTATGTGTGTGTGTTGGTGTGTATGTTCGTGTGTGTGTGTGTTGGTGTGTGTGTGTGTTGGTGTGTATGTGTGTTGGTGTGTGTGTTCGTGTGTGTGTGTGTTGGTGTGTGTGTTGGTGTGTGTATGTGTGTGTGTTCGTGTGTTCGTGTGTGTGTGTGTTGGTGTGTGTATGTGTGTTGGTGTGTGTGTTGGTGTGTGTGTGTTGGTGTGTGTGTTCGTGTGTGTGTGTGTTGGTGTGTGTGTGTTGGTGTGTGTATGTGTGTTGGTGTGTGTGTTGGTGTGTGTGTGGGTGTTGATGTGTGTGTGTGTGTTGGTGTGTGTGTGCACAAAACATATATACACGGGTGCGCGTGTATAATCGTGTGCGGTGGTAGTTGCTGCAAGTGTATTGGTATGCGTGTGTTCGTGTGTGTGTGTTGGTGTGCGTGTGTTCGTGTGTGTGTGTTGGTGTGTGTGTTGGTGTGTGTGTGTGTGTTGGTGTGTGTGTTCGTGTGTTGGTGCGTGTGTTGGTGTTCGTGTGTGTTGGTGTGTGTGTGTTGGTGTGTGTGTGTGTTGGTGTGTGTGTTGGTGTGAGTGTTGGTGAGTGTATGTTGGTGTGTGTGGTGGTGGTGTGTGTGTGGGTGTGTGTGTGTGTTCGTGTGTGGGTGTGTGTCTGTGTTGGTATGTGTGTTGGTGTGTGTTGGTGTGTGTGTGTTGGTGTGTGTGTTGGTGTATGTGTGTGTTGGTGTGTGTGTCGGTATGTGTGTGTGTGTTGGTGTGTGTGTGTTGGTGTGTGGGTGTCGGTAAAAACAACCCCCTACCTCCCCGTGGTGCCGGACGGCAACGCTGTCGTGGGCAGTGCAGTGGGGGGAGGGCCAATTGAGATTGACCATTCCACTCATGGCGTTTGTAACCACCACAGCGGCCAAATGGGGGCTCTGGACGGGTGCGAGGGGCTGGTAACCCCTCCACCTTCAATTAATTACCACTAAACCACGACTGAAACGTTTAATTAATAAGCTTGTGCCGGAGGCCCCTGGGGAACAGGCGTCTATGACGTCTCCTGGCCAAACACCTTTTGTGCGGAGCCAGGAGACTGAATTTTTACCATTGGGGCTCCTCCAGAAACGACAAAAAACCACTTCGTGTGGCCACGTGGAATGTTCGAACGCTTACTGCGGAGGAGAGGGTACCACTCCTCTGTTGGGAGCTGGACCGGTACCGCCTGGATCTCTGTGGTATTCAGGAGGTCCGGTGGACTGGTCCTGGCTCCTGCCACCATGAAGGGTGGACAGTCCTCTACTCGGGGCAGGAGACTGCCAAACAACAGGGTGTGGCTCTTCTTCTGAACAAAATAATGAAGGGGACGTGGGAGCGTGGCGGTGAGGTGTGGGAAGCTGTAAGCCCCAGGCTACTTTGGACTCGCCTTCGCATCAACCGGAAGCGAGGAATGGTGGTCGTGGTTACTTATGCCCCCCAACGAAGACGAACATCCGTGGAGGGATGCAGGCAAGGCCGATGAGTCAGATGCCTTCTATGACCTCCTGTCACAGGTGCTGGCTAAAGTGGCCCCTCGGGAAAGAGTCATCTTGTTGGGTGACTTGACTGCAATGCCCGAGTTGGTCATGATGCTGGAACCTGGTCTGGAGTGATTGGAGGTGATGGGCCAGATCAGCTCAATAACAACGGTAGGAGGTTGCTAGATTTTTGTGCAGCCCATGGGCTTCTGATTACCAACACGCTGTTCCGGCATCGGCACATCCACACAACATCATGGATGCATGACGGGTCCAAGCAAGAACATCTGCTGGACTACATAGTGATGGAACAGCGGATGCGGGCCCATGTCCTTGACACCAGGACCTACCGTGGAGCTGATCTGCCCACGGACCATCGACTTGTCATCTCTAAGATGCGCCTGCCATTCTTCCACTCCGGTGGTGGGTGTACACCCAGGATCCCATTCAAACCCATCGTGGCATGGTCTCAGTTATCTGATGAAAGTTGCAAGCGAGAATTTCATCATCGCTTGCGGCTGGGGTTGGCATCGTCCCCCACGCCTCCTGATGTCGAGGGAAATGGGCGAGGTTCAGGACTGTGACTCATGCAGCTGCAATGGCTGCTTTGGGTACACAGTTCAGACCTCCCCAGAGACCCTCGCTGACAGAGGAGGTGTTCAGGCTGGCTGAAAATAAGCGGCAGGCCCACTCTAATCGTCTACAGCATCCCACGTCAGAGAATGAGGAGGCTTACCGCAGCCTTCGCTCGGAGGTTTGGAGAGCTGTGAGGCGCTGCAAGGATGGTTGGTGGTTGCGGATTGCTGAGGAGATGGAGTATGCCTCAATGGCTTGCGATCACAAATCGCTCTTTAATTCCATCCAAAAAGTAACCTGCAGCGCCACACCTATTACCATCATTAGGGGAAAGAACTGTGATCCAATCTCCGACCCCCAGGAACAGGTTTGCAGATTTGCTGAGCATTTCTGTGAGCTCCTGGGGGAGGGGAAATCCCTCAGCCTGGAAAACATCATGGGACAAAGTGGAGATGATCCTGCTGAGGCTGCGGTGCCTCAAATATTGGAAGATGGAGTCACCCCCTGTGAGTGGCTGGCTGAGGTGCCATCTGTTGAGGAAGTACTGAAGGTGATCCAGAGCCTGAGACCAGCAAAGGCACCGGGCAGAGATGATCTCCCAAGCGAAATGATGAGGGAGGGTGGCGTTTGTGCACAGACTGCCCTACATGACATCATAACAACAGTCTGGACCACTGGATGTGTTCCACAGGAATGGAAGGATGCCCTGGTGGTCCCCTCTTTAAGAAAGGGGACCGCACAGACTGTCACAACTACAGGGGCATCTCACTCCTCAGTAGACCGGGAAAGGTCCTGGCAAGGATTATTCAACATCGCCTTACCAGGCACGCTGAGGAGAGGCTTGCAAAGCCCCAATGCGGTTTCAGGAAAGGGCGGTCCTGCACAGATGCCATATTTTCTGTCCGTCTGCTACAGTAGAGGTATAGGGAATTCCAAGAAGACCTACATCTCTGCTTTATTGACCTGGTCAAGGCCTATGATACCATCAGTAGGCCTGGGCTCTGGGTTGTTCTTTGTGCTCTCAGAGTCCCTGACCCGCTGCTCACAATTAATAAGGACCTTCATGATGGTGAGCGGGCCCGGGTAAAACTACGTGGCCGGGAGTCAGAGCCATTCCCTGTTCACTTTGGGGTGCGACTGGGATGTCCTCTGGCTCCCACATTATTTAACATCTATTTCGACCATGTAGCTGTACCGGAGGAATTTCTATCTTCTACAGATACAATGAGAGGCTGATCGATGCCCGGGTGCGGAACAAGGGATGGCTCCCTATTGCTCAACCACGTTATGTATGCCGATGATCTGGTACAGAGGAGGAGTTGGAGGCGCTGCTGCTGAACCTGGAACTTGCCACCAAGAGGTGGGGCCTTACCATCATTCCCACCAAAACTAAGCACCTGCCTGGGTATTTTGCACCATCGGACACTCCACCACCACAACTCCCAATGCAGCGGCGTGTGGGTGCGCAAAAAATGCGGTGGCTATCCCCCTCCTCAAACCTCCTCCCTCTCCCTCCTCCACCCCCTCCTCGCCCTCCTTCTCCTCCCTCTGTCTCCTTCTCCTTCCATTTATTCCTCTTCATAGTTTTTAAGCATTCTTTATCATCCTTTATAATCCTTTATAATCGAACCCACGACCTCCTGTACACCAGGCGAGGTAGTTAACATCTCTTAGCCACCGTAATGATGATGATGATGAGAGAGAGAGAGAGACACACACACAGACTCCAAATATACAGCATCAGGCGTCGTCAGGGTCGGGATCAAACCCACGACCGCCTGTATACCAGGCGAGGAAGTTAACATCTCTTAGCCACCGTAATGATGATGATGAGAGAGAGAGAGAGACACACACAGACTCCAAATATACAGCATCAGGCGTCGTCAGGGTCGGGATCAAACCCACGACCGCCTGTATACCAGGCGAGGTAGTTAACATCTCTTAGCCACCACGAATCTCAGTACCACCACCACCACCACCACCTACCACCACCACCAACCACCACCACCATCCACCACCACCAACCACAACCAGCACCACCAACCAACAACCACAACCAACCACAACCACCACCACCACCACCAACAAAGCACCACCCACCTTATCCAGGGCCTGCATCTCCTTGGAGGGCGCCTGCTCCATCTTAAAGATGCCGAGCCCTCGCCGGAGGTCGTTCTCCTCCAGCTTGAGGCCGTTGAGCTGCCCGCGCAGGTTGCACACCTGGCCCAGAGCGTCGCCGCAGGACACCGCGCTGCTGAAGGGACCTGCGGCCCAACAGGAGCGGTGAGCCGCGCGCTTGCCAGGACCGGCGCTTGCCGGGACCGGCGCTTGCCGGGACCGGCGATTGCTGCGTCGTCGGCGGCCGCACGTAGCCGGCCGTGGGTGATTAATTTATCGGAGCGGGAAGGACAAGAATCTTGTGGGTGTCTGTGTGGGTCTCTGTGTGAGGCTGTGGGTGTCTGTGTATAGAGTCTGTGGGTCTCTGTGTGTCTGTGGGTCTCTATGTACAGAGACTGTGGGTGTCTGTGTACAGAGTCTGTGGGTGTCTGTGTACAGAGTCTGTGGGTGTCTGTGTACAGAGTCTGTGGGTCTCTGTGTGAGTCTGTGGGTCTCTATGTACAGAGACTGTGGGTGTCTGTGTACAGAGTCTGTGGGTGTCTGTGTACAGAGTCTGTGGGTCTCTGTGTGAGTCTGTGGGTCTCTGTATGAGTCTGTGGGTCCCTGTGTGAGTCTGTGGGTCTCTGTGTGAGCCTGTGGGTCTCTGTGTGTCTCTGGGTCTCTGTGTGAGTCTGTGGGTGTCTGTGTGTGTGTCTGTGGGTCTCTGTGTACAGAGTCTGTGGGTCTCTGTGTGAGGCTGTGGGTCTCTGTGTGTATAGTCTGTGGGTCTCTGTGTGAGTCTGTGGGTCTCTGTGTGAGTCTGTGGGTCTCTGTGTACAGAGTCTATGGGTCTCTGTGCGAGTCTGTGGGTCTCTGTGTGAGTCTGTGGGTCTCTGTGTACAGAGTCTATGGGTCTCTGTGCGAGTCTGTGGGTCTCTGTGTGAGTCTGTGGGTCTCTGTGTACAGAGTCTGTGGGTCTCTGTGTGGGTCTATGGGTCTCTGTGTGAGGCTGTGGGTCTCTGTGTGTAGAGTCTGTGGGTCTCTGTGTGTCTGTGGGTCTCTATGTACAGAGACTGTGGGTGTCTGTGTACAGAGTCTGTGGGTGTCTGTGTACAGAGTCTGTGGGTCTCTGTGTGAGTCTGTGAGTCTCTGTGTGAGTCTGTGGGTCTCTTTGTACAGAGTCTGTGGGTTTCTGTGTGAGTCTGTGGGTCTCCGTATGTCTGTGGGTCTCTGTGTGAGTCTATGGGTCTCTGTGTGAGTCTGTGGGTCTCTGTGTGAGTCTGTGGGTCTCCGTGTGTGTCTGTGGGTCTCTGTGTGAGTCTGTGGGTCTCTGTGTGAGTCTGTGGCTCTCTGTGTGAGTCTGTGGCTCTCTGTGTGAGTCTGTAGGTCTCCGTGTGAGTCTATGGGTATCGATATACATGTGTATGTTGAACTTCTTTCGCACCATACGTAGCCAACCGTGCTAATCAGAGGTGCGGGGGAAGGACAACACACTCAACACAAAATGAGTTCTAAAGAAATTAGTTTTCAATTTAGAATAGTGGTGTAGTGTGTCGCGTGGTGTTTTGTGTAGTATATAGCAGTGTATAGTGTAGTGTAGAGTCTAGTTTATAGTAGTGTAGCGTATAGTCGTATATTGTGTAGTGTATAGGGTAGTGTATAATGTAATGTTTAGTAGTGTATAGTGTAGTGTATAGTGTAGTGTATGGTAGTGTATAGTAGTGTATAGTGTATGTATAGTAGTGTAGTGTATAGGGTAGTGTGTAGTAGTGTATAGTTGTAATGTATAGTAGTGTAGTGTATAGTAGTGTAATGTATAGTAGTGTAGTGTAGCGTATAGTCGTATATTGTGTAGTGTATAGTGTAGTGTATAGTGTAGTGTGTAGTGTAGTGTATAGTGTAATGTATAGTGTAGTGTATAGTGTAGTGTATAGTAGTGTATAGTAGTGTATAGTGTAGTGCATGGTAGTGTACAGTGTAGTGTATAGTAGTGTATAGTGTAGTGTATAGTGTAGTGTATAGTAGTGTATAGTAGTATATAGTGTAGTGTATGGTAGTGTACAGTGTAGTGTATAGTAGTGTATAGTGTAGTGTATAGTGTAGTGTAAAGTGTAGTGTATACTAGTCTATAGTGTAGTGTATAGTAGTGTAGTGTATAGTGTAGTGTATAGTGCACTGTATAGTGTAGTGTATAGTGTAGTGTATAGTAGTGTATATTGTAGTGTATAGTAGTATAGTGTACAGTGTAGTGTATAGTAGTGTAGTGTATAGTAGTGTAGAGTGTAATGTATAGTAGTGTAGTGTATAGTAGTGTAGTGTGTAATAGTGTAGTGTATAGTAGTGTAGTGTATAGTAGTGTAGTGTATAGTAGTGTAGTGTATACTGTAGTGTATAGTAGTGCAGTGTATAGTTTAGTGTATAGTAGTGTAGTGGATAGTGTAGTGTATAGTAGTGTAGTGTATAGTGTAGTGTATAGTAGTGTAGTGTATAGTGTAGTGTATAGTAGTGTAGTGTATAGTGTAGTGTATAGTGTCGTGTATAGTGTAGTGTATAGTAGTGTAGTGTATAGTGTAATGTATAGTAGTGTAGTGTATAGTGTAGTGTATAGTAGTGTAGTGTATAGTGTAGTGTATAGTAGTGTAGTGTATAGTAGTGTAGTGTATAGTAGTGTAGTGTATAGTAGTGTAGTGTATAGTAGTGTAGTGTATAGTGTAGTGTATAGTAGTGTAGTGTATAGTGTAGTGTATAGTAGTGTAGTGTATAGTGTAGTGTATAGTAGTGTAGTGTATAGTAGTGTAGTGTATAGTGTAGTGTATAGTAGTGTAGTGTATAGTGTAGTGTATAGTAGTGTAGTGTATAGTGTAGTTTATAGTAGTGTAGTGTATAGTGTAGTGTATAGTAGTGTAGTGTATAGTGTAGTGTATAGTAGTGTATAGTGTAGTGTATAGTAGTGTAGTGTATAGTAGTGTAGTGTATAGTGTAGTGTATAGTAGTGTAGTGTATAGTGTAGTGTATAGTAGTGTAGTGTATAGTGTAGTGTATAGTAGTGTAGTGTATAGTGTAGTGTATAGTAGTGTAGTGTATAGTGTAGTGTATAGTAGTGTAGTGTGTAGTGTAGTGTATAGTAGTGTAGTGTATAGTAGTGTATAGTGTAGTGTATAGTAGTGTAGTGTATAGTAGTGTAGTGTATAGTGTAGTGTATAGTAGTGTAGTGTATAGTAGTGTAGTGTATAGTAGTGTAGTGTATAGTGTAGTGTATAGTAGTGTAGTGTATAGTGTAGTGTATAGTAGTGTAGTGTATAGTGTAGTGTATAGTAGTGTAGTGTGTAGTGTAGTGTATAGTAGTGTAGTGTATAGTGTAGTGTATAGTAGTGTAGTGTATAGTGTAGTGTATAGTAGTGTAGTGTAGTTTATAGTAGTGTAGTGTATAGTGTAGTGTATAGTAGTGTAGTGTATAGTGTAGTGTATAGTAGTGTATAGTGTAGTGTATAGTAGTGTGTAGTGTAGTGTATAGTAGTGTAGTGTATAGTCTCCTGTATAGTAGTGTAGTGTATAGTGTAGTGTATAGTAGTGTAGTGTATAGTGTAGTATATAGTGTAGTGTATAGCAGTGTAGTGTATAGTGTATTGTATAGTAGTGTAGTGTGTACTGTAGTGTAGAGTAGTGTAGTGTATAGTCTCGTGTATAGTAGTGTAGTGTATAGTGCAGTGTATAGTAGTGTAGTGTATAGTGTAGTGTATAGTGTAGTGTATAGTAGTGTAGTGTATAGTCTCGTGTATAGTAGTGTAGTGTATAGTGTAGTGTATAGTAGTGTAGTGTATAGTGTAGTGTATAGTAGTGTAGTGTATAGTCTCGTGTGTAGTAGTGTAGTGTATAGTGTAGTGTATAGTAGTGTAGTGTATAGTCTCGTGTGTAGTAGTGTAGTGTATAGTGTAGTGTATAGTAGTGTAGTGTATAGTGTAGTGTATAGTAGTGTAGTGTATAGTGTAGTGTATAGTAGTGTAGTGTATAGTCTCGTGTATAGTAGTGTATAGTGTAGTGTATAGTAGTGTAGTGTATAGTCTCGTGTGTAGTAGTGTAGTGTATAGTGTAGTGTATAGTAGTGTAGTGTATAGTCTCGTGTGTAGTAGTGTAGTGTATAGTGCAGTGTATAGTAGTGTAGTGTATAGTAGTGTAGTGTATAGTGTAGTGTATAGTAGTGTAGTGTGTATGCTGAACTTCTTTCGCACCGCAAGCCGCAACCACTTCAAACATCACCGCCGTCGCCACCACCACCACCACCACAACCACCACCACCACCACCGCCACCACCACCACCACCACCGCCATGGCCACCGCCACCACCACCACCACCACCGCAGGTGATGCGCACCGTGTGTGTGGAAGTCGTCCACCAGGCTCTGCACCCTCCTCTTGAACTCGTCGGCCGAGTGGAGGAGTCCCGAGCGGAAGTGCTCCTTTCGCCTCCTCAGCATTGCCTCGCTGTCCAGCAAGCACTGCTGGAAGGACAGATGCTGGGCCGTCAGCGACTCCAGCATCCGGGACACCTGGGGGAGAGAGACACAGAGACAGAGAGACAGAGAGAGAGACAGAGAGAGAGAGAGACAGAGGGAGAGAGAGACAGAGGGAGAGAGGTCAGGTTTGGTGGTGGAAGAAGTGGAATCGCTGTCCAGAAAGCACTGCTGGAAGGACAGATGCTGGGTCGTCAGGGACTCCAGCATCCGGGACACCTGGGGGAGAGAGACACAGAGAGAGAGAGAGACAGAGACAGAGACACAGAGAGAGAGAGAGACAGAGAGAGAGGTCAGGTTTGGTGGTGGAAGAAGTGGAATCGCTGACCAGAAAGCACCGCTGGAAGCACAGATGCTGGGCCGTCAGGGACTTCAGCATTCCGGAACACTTGGGGGAGAGCGACACAGAGAGACACAGAGAGAGAGACAGAGAGAGAGACAGAGAGAGACACAGAGGGAGAGAGACAGAGAGAGAAAGAGAGAGACAGAGAGAGAGACAGAGAGAGAGAGACAGAGAGACAGAGAGCGACACAGAGAGAGAGACAGAGAGAGAGACAGAGAGACAGAGACAGAGAGAGACAGAGAAATACAGAGAGAGAGACACAGAGAGACAGAGATAAACAGAGAGAGAGAGACAGAGAGACACAGAGACACAGAGAGAGACAGAGAGAGACAGAGAGAGACAGAGACACAGAGAGACACACAGAGAGACAGAGAGAGATAGACAAGCTATACGGTTTGTCTTTGTCCACACACATACAAAACAAAGATTCCCCGTATAGCCTTAACAGACTGCTGGGGCAAGTGCTGTTAGTAGCGAGTAGCAGCACCTATGTAGGCCGGCACTGTGGCACACGAAGGGGTGGGTGGCCAGCACAACGTCGGACCGCCTGTGTCTCCCCAGTGACGATGTTAACAACTACACTACTCCGCTACACCAGCTACTCATTTGAGGCTGAGTCGACCTAGAGGAGGCTCAGGACCGGTTCAGATAATCGTCACCGGTGTTGGCCGTGAGCGAGAATCGAACTCGGGTCGCCGGGTTCATAGCGCAGCGTAGCGCTAACCGCTACACTACCGCGCACACACACACACGCACACACACACGGGTACACGCACACACACACGGGTACACACACACACGGGTACACACAGACACACACACAGGTACACACACACACGGGTACAGACAGACACTAACACACACACAGGTGCACACGGGTACACACACACGCACGCACACACGCACACACACGGGTACAGACAGACACTAACACACACAGGTACACACGGGTACACACGCACACACACGGGTACACACAGACACACACACACAGGTACACACACACACGGGTATAGACAGACACTCACACACAGGTACACACGGGTACATACACACACACACAGGTACACACACACACGGGTACAGACAGACACTCACACACACAGGTACACACGGGTACACACGCACACACACGGGTACACACAGACACACACACACAGGTACACACACACACGGGTATAGACAGACACTCACACACAGGTACACATGGGTACATACACACACACACAGGTACACACACACACGGGTACAGACAGACACTCACACACACAGGTACACACGGGTACACACACACACTCACAACAACAACAACAACAACCGCCATTCGCCACTAAGTGGCGGTGACGTCACCACGACGCTTGTGCCAGGCTATGTGCACCCTGAGGCCACGTGAAGTGTCGAACGCCCGCTGGCAGGAGGTCACGGGGCAGACCCAGGTGCCACGGGTCGACTGACTGAGATGACTGGCTGATGCACCACCTGTGCCCCCTACTGTGCCAACCTGCTGTGCTTTAGCCACCCGGCGCTCCGCTCGCTGTTGTGAGCGTCGCTCCTCCGCCCTCCGTTGTTGTTGGAGGGCGACTGCCTCCAACTGCCCAGTAGCATCCTTCACGAGCCTCCTCCACAGAGGCCGATCTTGACACCGCTGGTACCAGTCATCGGCAAGTCCACTCAGCTCCACGTCCTCCTGTACCACATCACTCCATCTCTTCTCTAGCCCGTGCCGCGCCCGCTTAGCCCCCTCAATCCGGCCAAACAAAAGCTGTTTCGGCATGCGGTGGCTGGGCATGCGGGCTACATGACCCAGCCATCGCAGCCTTGCCTGCCGGAGGAGCTCACCGATGGGACCCTGCCCAGATCTTTCAAGGATTTGTGAGCTCCTCACACAATCCAGTCTGGTTAAACCCAGGATGGATCGTAGGCAGGCCAGCCTAAATGTTTCTAACCGGCGAAGATGTTCCATTAGGGGGGTCCACGTTTCGCAAGCATAGAGAAGGGAGGGAATGACCGTGGCCGAGAAGACCTGAAGCTTAGTGCGGAGCGACAGACCAGGTAGCTTCCACACAGCGTTACGCAACCGATGAAAAGATATTGCCGCTCGACTGATTCGGAGTGAGACCTCTGCTGTTAAACTGGAGCCAGTCATAAGCACACTGCCCAGGTATGGGAAACTCTCCACTCTCTCCACAACTGCCCCATCACCGATTGGGAGTTGTGGTGGTGGAGTGTCCGATGGTACAAAATACCCAGGCAGGTGCTTAGTTTTGGTGGGGCTGATGGTAAGGCCCCACCTCTTAGTGGCATTCTCCAGTCTCAGCAGCAGCGTCTCCAACTCCTCCTCTGACTGAGTAGCTATTACCAAGTCATCAGCATACATAACGTGGTTGAGCAATAGGGAGCCATCCCTTGACCGCACCCGGGCATCGATTAGCCTCCCATTATATCTGTACCATATGGAGATTCCCCCGGTACAGCTATTGAAGGCTTCACGAACTACGTGGTCAAAATAGATGTTAAATAATGTGGGAGCCAAAGGACATCCCTGTCGCACCCCAAGGTGTACAGGGAATGGCTCTGACTCCCGGCCACGTAGTTTTACCCGGGCCCGCTCACCATCATGAAGGTCCTTAATGATCGTGAGCAGAGGGTCAGGTACTCCAAAAGCACGAAGAACGACCCAGAGCCCAGGCCTACTGATGGTATCATAGGCCTTGACCAGGTCAATAAAGCAGAGATGTAGGTCTTGTTGGAATTCCCTACACCTCTGCTGTAGCAGACGGACAGAAAATATGGCATCTGTGCAGGACCGCCCTTTCCTGAAACCGCATTGGGGCTCCGCAAGCCTCTCCTCAGCGTGCCTGGCAAGGCGATGCTGAATAATCCTTGCCAGGACCTTTCCCGGCACACTGAGGAGTGAGATGCCCCTGTAGTTGTTACAGTCTGTGCGGTCCCCCTTCTTAAAAAGGGGGACCACCAGGGCATCCTTCCAATCCTGCGGAACCCGTCCAGTGGTCCAGACTGTTGTTATGATGTCATATAGGGCAGTCTGTGCACAAACGCCACCCTCCCTCAGCATTTCGCTTGGGAGATCATCTCTGCCCGCTGCCTTTCCTGGTCTCAGACTCCGGATCGCCTTCAATACTTCCTCAGCAGATGGCACCTCAGCCAGCCACTCACAGGGGGTGACTTCATCCAATATTTGAGGCACCGCAGCCTCAGCAGGGTCATCCTCACTTTGTGCCGCGATGTTTTCCTGGCTGAGGGATTTTCCCTCCCCCAGGACCTCACAGAAATGCTCAGCAAATCTGCGAACCTGTTCCTGGGGGTCGGAAATTGGATCACCGTTTTTTCCCCTAATGATGGTAATAGGTGTGGCGCTGCAGGTTACTTTTTTGATGGAGTTAAATAGAGATTTGTGATCACGGGCCACTGAGGCAGACTCCATCTCCTCAGCAACCCGCGACCACCACCCATCCTTGCAGCGCCTCACGGCTCTCCGAACCTCCGAGCGAAGGCTGCGGTAAGCCTCCTCATTCTCTGACGTGGGATTCTGTAGCCGATGACAGTGGGCCTGTCGCTTTTTCTCAACCATCCTGAACAACTCCTCTGTCATCCAGGGTGTCTGGGGAGGTCTGGACCGCGTACCCAAAGCAGCCATTGCAGCTGCATGAGTCACAGTCCTAAACCTCGCCCATTTACCCTCGACATCAGGAGGAGTCGGGGACGATGCCAATCCCAGCCGCAAGCGATGATGAAATTCTCGCTTGCAACTTTCATCAGATAACTGAGACCAGGCCACTTTAGGTTGGAATGGGGTCCTGGGTGTACACCCACCACCGGAGTGGAAGAATGGCAGGCGCATCTTACAGATGACTAGTCGATGGTCAGAGGGCAGATCAGCTCCACGGTAGGTCCTGGTGTCAAGGACATGGGCTCGCATTCGCTGGTCCGTCACTATGTAGTCCAGCAGATGTTCTTGCTTGGACCCGGCATGCATCCATGATGTTGTGTGGATGCGCCGATGCCGGAACAGCGTGTTGGTAATTACAAGCCCATGGGCTGCACAAAAATCTAGCAGCCTCCTACCGTTGTTATTGAGCTGATCTGGCCCATGCCCTCCAATCACTCCAGACCAGGTGCCAGTATCATGACCAACTCGGGCATTGAAGTCACCCAACATGATGACTCTATCCCGAGGGGCCACTTTAGCCAGCACCTGTGACAGGAGGTCATAGAAGGCATCTGACTCATCGGCTTTGCCTGCATCCCTCCACGGATGTTCATCTTCGGTGGGGGCATAAGTAACCACGACCACCATTCCTCGCCTCCGGTTGATGGGAAGGCGAGCCCAAAGTAGCCTGGGGCTTACAGCTTCCCACACCTCACCGCCACGCTCCCACGCCCCCTTCATTCTTTTGTTCAAAAGAAGACCCACACCCTGTTGTTTGGCAGTCTGCTGCCCCGAGTAGAGGACTGTCCACCCCTCATGGTGGCAGGAGCCAGAGCCGGTCCACCGGACCTCCTGAATGCCGCATAGATCCAGGCGGTACCGGTCCAGCTCCCGACAGAGGAGTGGCAGCCTCTCCTCTGCAGTGAGCGTTCGAACATTCCACGTGGCCAACCGTAGTGGCTTTTCGTTGTTTCTGGAGTAGCCCCGAGGGTAGGTATTCAATCTCCTGGCTCCGCCAATTGG